ACTGGTGGGGTAGTCAGTCATTTTTTAAGTTCTGTAAATCTCTTTTCACATTCTTTATTCAACTCAAACTTGATATTTTTCTTCGTAAGTCATGTCAAGGAGGCAGCTATACTTAAAAATCTTCTACAAACTTACGGTAATAACCTGCCATACCCAAGAAGCTTCGAACTTCCTTAACTGAAGTCAACTAATTCCAACCCATCACTGCATCAATCTTATTGGGATTCACTGACACTCCATCTTTTGGTATTATGTGCCTAGGAAGGAACTACTCAATTTTTCATATAGTTTCTTTTCCCTACGAACTTGTAAGACCTGAGTTAGATGTTGAGCGTATTCTTCTCTACTCTTATAATAGACTAGGATATCATCAATGAATACTATGATGAATTGATCCAAGAATGACCTGAAGACCCTGTTCATCAAGTGCATAAAGATCGCAGGTGCATTAGTTAATTTGAATGGCATGATCAGAAACTCATAGTGCCCATACCGGATTTTGAAGTTCGTTTTAGGGATTTTTTCTACCTCGATCTTCACTTGATGAGATCTCGAACGCAGGTCAATCTTAGAAAAAATTTGAGCACCCTGTAATTAGTCAAAAAGATCATCAATCCTAGGGATGAGATACTTGTTCTTCACTGTGACCATGTTCAGTTCTCTGTAGTCAATACACAACCTCAAGGACCTATTATTTTTTCTTCCGAATGTGACTCTAGCACTCCAAGAGGATATGTTATGTCGGATGAACCTATTATTCTACAATTTCTTGATCTGTTTTTCTAGTTCTTCCATCTCGACACAACTCAGATGGGTTGGGTGTCAGGCTGAAGATCTATGGTAAATTTGACTTCTTGATCTACTAGCAGTCTGGATAGTTCATCAGGGAATACATTCGAAAAATCTTGGACAACAAGAATATCTTAAATACAAATCTCTTTTTTAGGTTTACCTAGCGTGGAAAAGAATAGCTGAGTTAAAGGCATTTGATAAACAAGGTAGTTACCACATTTAAATAACATATAAAATTTTTATTAATTTGTGAAAGACTTTTCGTTAGGAATGTTGAATACAAACTTCTTATGGAGACAGTCTACAGTAGCACGGTACGCCGTTAACCAGTTTATTCCAAGAATTACATCAAAATTCCCCGTGTCAAGTACTATCAGATCTACGTTTAATTTTCTACTTATTATTTCTATGATATAAGCTTTGTATATAACATTCTTCAGTAATGTCCCACACCCAAGTGTTGACACAAATAATACAGAATTAAGGCTTTTAGATAACACCTTTAAATTTTGAGTAAAAACATGTGAAACAAAAGAATGTGAAGCATCAATATCAATTAAAACATGTGCAAGGTAGTTACAGATAGTGTACATACCATGTATTACGTCTAGGTTGGCTTCAGCATCCTGCTGAGTGAGTGTATAGACTTTGCCCTAAACTGCAGGTCTGGCATGATTCTGATTTTGCGGATAATCTCACACGTAGTGCTAGACATTGCCACATATGTGGCAGGTGTTGTTGAGGCGATAGCAAGGTCGGTCTCCATGATTTTTGTCACATTGCTGGCAAACCTTGTTACATCCTGTTACCGAGGCCTGAAAAAGGAGCTTGAGTTTGGGGCTTTGGTCTCTTGTTCTACTGGTTCAATACAATAAGTGCTGGCCTGCAATGTGGAACCGGAGGTTTGGGATTATCCACTGCTGGAGAAAAAATAAAGAAGTTCCTTTCTATCAATTGTGCTTTAGCCAAAACTGTTGAGTAAGTACTGAGCTCAAACACATATAACTGTTGTCTGATTTTAAGGCGGAGACCCCACTTAAACCTTTTTGTCTTCCTACCTTCGTCTGTCATGCTCTCAGGAGAGTATCAGCCTAACTCTAGGAATTTCTGAGCATATTCTGATACTGACAAATCTCCCTAGATCAGGTGTGCAAACTCTATCTCATTCAGATGTCGGAGGTGTTCTGAAAGGTACTCAGCATTGAAGACTGTTAAAAACTGTTCCCAAATGACTGGGGTGGGTAGAGTAGCCTGTTTCAGTTGCCACTAATGTCCTGCCTCACCTACGAGCATGTAAGTGGCAAAAACATCCTTCCATTTAGGAACTACTTCAAAAGTCACAAAGGCATTCTCTATCTATGCTGGCCAGTATTCAGTTTCTTCAAAAGTAGATGCCCCTGCAAAAGTAGATGGATTAAGTCTCTTATACCTCTTGATGTAGTATGGGTCCATCACGGGTGGAGTTGGATCTTGCTGAAGAGAAATTGGATTATGCTGGGGAGGGACCTGGTGGCCTTGTGGCAACATCTAGTTATATGGTTGGGGCATCCAGATTGTACTGTAGTTGTGCCGAATGATACAGTAGAGGAGCAGAGTTGTATCGTGGTGGCATTAGATCCTCTCGGTGTGGAGGTGGCTCAAACTGTAGTAGTGGTGGAGGGAGATCATGCAACTCCCTTTTCTCCTCCCTGGCCTGTTGGGGAGAGATGAGTCTTTCAAGCATCTCGAAGAGCCGATCGACATCTTCCCAAAGCGATTCCTCCTGGGCTGCTCTATTTAATGGGGGTCTTCTTCTCCTCATGTTCTTATACCTATATTTCACAACAAAGATTTGAGATTCGGGTTGCATTGAATCACTCTAACCTTATGTGCAAGGAATGATTATGAGGAACGCGGCTCTAATATCAACTAAAAAGGCCCAAAATGCATGCTATTTATGAAGAAAAGAATCAGAATAGTAATTCATATTATGCATCCTAAAAGACCAATAGTAATTAACTTTTACCATTTTTACTTATTTACCGTTGCCGTTGGAGGTCCATAGGAGTTCTCACTACACATAGACCAAATATCTATTCAATGAATCAACCAACTATCCCCATACCCGGTTCGGTAATAGGCGCCAAACACACCACTGCCTCAATACCCCGTCTGATAATTAGCGTAATCAAAATAATTCCCAACCCCTTCTGGTATGAGATTTCTCAGCTCCTTCGGCTAAGGGTAACGTCCACGATAGGGTTTACTCTATGTACCAAGTTTATACACTCTTTTCCATGACACCCAATAAGCCCCTTTAATTTTAATAATGTTGTTTACACATACAAGCTTCCATTACTATCTAGCCACTAAATACATGCAAAACTCACATTTGACAATTATAGGAAAATGGAACGATCATTTAATAAGATATATAAATTAAGACCCGATGATTCAAGAAAATATAATTAAGACATTCGTTGCAAATTGAATAAACGGAATAAAGACGAAAATGGTTGAGTGAACTAAATAGATAAGAAGAGCAATTAAAATCAATAAATTAAAGTACACGAAGTAACGGTAGGCAATTAAGGCAATATAACAATAAATAGGCAACACAAATAAATTAGGAACAATTATACACTGACTGGTTACTTGCTCCATCGGTGACCTGTATTTAATTAATCAAGGGGTCGGCAAACATTTGTAATTTCTCGTTTATTCTTAATTTAACTTTAATTTAACTATAATGGGAGAAAATGTGAGGGATTCTTACTCCAAGTCGATGTCTGAAATACTGTCTTTTTTACTACGCTTCCCAGCAGTTCCTGATTCTTGAATTTCTTGGATTTTTTCTGTTAAAACTAAAATATATGTCAAATAACGTGGAGATATGCGAAAAAAGGGCCAAAAATCTCACTGGGGGCCGGTTTAGAGTTCCTGCACTGTGGCACTGCCGTGCTCCGCCGCCAATTCTGCCTTCTATGACGGCTCCTCCTCTCGGTCAGGCTGATTTCGATCAGTTCTAGGTAAAAACATGTTCACTTTGGGGTTAGGCAGTGTCTGTTGGTAGAAAAATGAAGAAAATCGAAACTTACTGACGATTCTGACTTTCCAGTGCGGTGGCTCTATCGCTTCTCCCTCGCGGTCGCGACTTTCCTTCTATTACCCTGTACTGAAAACATGTTAGATGGCCTAGGATCGAGAAACGGAAGGAAACAAAAAAAGGGTCTGGGCTCACTAGAGTGGTTTTTCAGTTTCGGGTGCGGCGGCTCAACCGAGCTCTGCCCTCCGTTTCTAACTTTCCCTTGGGTTTTTCGGCGTCGATAAGGATTTTAGGTAGTTTAAAATGAAAAAACATAATGAACGGGAGAAAAATTCACTTATCAGCATCGATTTGGGTCTCTAATGTGGTGGCGATGGTGGCCGGCTTCTTTTTCTCTGATAATTGGTTCGCTTTCCGGCTGCCCTTCTTTTTCTTCTCCAGTGGTCTTGACAGCTAGGGTTTTGGGGAGCCCCAGTAGTGAGGTTTAAATACCTCCTCCGCTTTAATCTGGGCCATCCGTGCAAGGAGACATGGAGCATCAAAGGTCATCCGATCGTGCTTAATGGGGGAATTGATCTGAACTATTTGATTGGAGGCACGCAGGTCGTTTGATCAAGCCTATTTTGAGACTCGATATCTATTGTTCACGCGCGGGGAGAGGCCCTGAGCCATTCAATCGGCCTGACACGCGGATCGCCCACGTGGCTTCCCGCGTGGAACTGTGCTAGCATGTCCATCACGTGGCACACGACAAATTGTCGTGTTGCTGACGTGGCTGTCCCACGTGGCTGCATTTTTCTTTTTTATGATTTGTCCTCTGTTTTTCAATTTTCTTTTCAAATATATCATCATTTTATTTACAGTTTGACCTTAACTTTTAAAAATTGTTTTAAACACATTCAAAATGTATGTAACTCAAAAATTTTATTAAAAAAATTAAAATTAATAATTTTTAAAATTATTTTTAAAATAAATTTTGTCACGCCGAACCTAAATTCTGGGTTGGGTGTTACAATATGTTTTAACACAATATAAAGAATCTGATGTAGGCCAATAAAAATTTGAATTAAAATATTTTTTATCAAATTTTTGTTTATTCCAACTACTAAATCTATATTTATATAGATAATCATATGTTTACCTACTATTTTAACAAACAGAATTGGTTTCTGATTGTGGGAAGATCAGAAAGGTGGTTAGTCTGTCGGTGCATGTGGAAATAAAAGGACAAAAACCAAGAAGCAAACAAATTTCACTCTTCCGTAACTTCCTAAAATCCACTCGCCTACATATTTCAACTTCTGGGTTCGTCTTCTGCTTTCATTTCCAATCAATAAACCATGCCAGGATGGAGGAAAGCAGATAACTTCCTGCTTTTTGCTTGAGTTTATGGCTGAATCTTGGGGTTTATTGAAAAAGGCTTGGTTCTTTGGATCTAAGTTTGGGTCTTTTGACTCAGTTGACTCGAGATTTGAGATGGGTATTGATCGAATATAATTGGGTCAATACTGGTTTTGCGAGTTGAATAGAGCAAAATGAGTTGGAAGAGTCGAGGATCGGACTCAGGTTCGAAGACTGCGGTGTCCAAGAAATGGACTTTTCTTCTTTGTATTGGCTGCTTTTGTGCTGGGATCCTTTTCTCCGATAGGTAATTTTTCTCATTCTCTGAGTTTTTCTTTTGTTTGTTTAGCATTGGGTTTAGCTTATCCGTTAAGCTGCAGCTTTTTCAATTTATGGGTTTTGAAAGGCTTATGATTTAGAGAAAAGGTTCTGATTGTTCTGGGTTTCTGGATGTGGGTTCTGATTTTTCTGGGTTTTTGCATGTGGGTTTCTGGTTTTTTTCTTGTATAAAGTAGATTTGTGGTATTAACAACGGAAAATTTTGGTTGAAATTACCCAAGATAGATCTCTAAAGTTCATGCGGCGGATTCAAATCAGTAGAAGTTTAAAGTAATCCCTTTTTACCCCTCTGTTATTTTACCCATTAAAAGGTAAGGTAAAATGTTTTATCCCAGAATCGGCAAATATACCAGAAAGAATCCTTTTTATTTGAAAGGAAAGATAAAATGTTGCTTGTAAAAAAAAAGTCAAAAAAGCCAAAGTTTACGACTTGAAAGCAATGTTTGTAAATGGTCTTAATGAGCACATAATTTTGGCTCTTGATGGTGATGATATAATCATAAAATGCTGCTATGGATGAACACTTTTTAGCTTAGGTTTGCATAGACCTTACCATTTTCGAGAGCTCATTTAGCCGAAGAAATAGCTACTTCTAGTTATTGCAATGATTCAGTACTAAGAAATGTGCATTTTGTTCTGGAATTTTTCATGTAATCTTTTGAAATCTCAGGCTCTGGTTTAAGTGTTCAATACTAATTTGATATGTTGATACTAGAATGTGGCCGGTTCCCGAAGTCAAGAGTATATCCCGGAGAGCAGGGGTTGAAGATGAAAAGCTGATGTTGGTATCGGAAGGATGTGAGCCAGTAAGTGCAAGTATTCTATATGCATTCAAAGTGCTTAGCCTTTGTAGAAAATCAGTTAAAATCTATTGTTTTTTATGGTATTAGAGTTAGAGAAGTGTACTCTCGAATGATTGGATGTATTAATGTATAAATAATATATTGTTTATTTCCTATCAGTCTAAACTTTCAGAAAAAGATGATTCAACTCTATTATTTATCATTTTTTAGGTTGTTAACAATTTGGTCATGCTTTCTCTTTTTGTTAATCAGGATGTCAAGCATGAATCGAAGGACATTCTAGGGGAGGTTTCGAAGACCCATCTTGCTATACAGTAAGTTAATCTCTGTGCTTTCATTATGTGCATTTTGCTGCAAGTAATCGGAGCATTAATATTTTGACTGCATAAAAATATGCAGCACGCTGGATAAAACAATTTCAAATTTGGAAATGGAATTGGCTGCTGCAAGGGCTGCTCAGGAATCGATAATGAACGGTTCTCCTGTGTCCGATGAATTAAAAATCAGCGAATCGGGCACCAAAAGGAAATATTTGATGGTCATAGGCGTCAATACTGCTTTTAGCAGTCGTAAGCGAAGAGATTCAGTTCGTTCTACTTGGATGCCTCAAGGTTTGTGTATTTAGTTACGGGCTTTTCATGTGGTAGTGTTTCATATTTTTGAATTTTACTGGTTGTTTGCATACATATATATATATATATATATATATTTCAGTTTACATATTTTCAGTACTATATCCTAATTTCTTTATGTATAAAAATAGGTGAAAAGAGAAAGAAGCTTGAGGAAGAGAAGGGCATTGTGATTCGCTTTGTAATAGGTCACAGGTTTGAACTTAACTTCGAGTTTGATGCTATTATTTGCTTTGTTGTCTTTCTCGAATTAGTCTTGAACAAAGAGCACGTAGCTCAGATGGCTTCTGTTGCTGAGCTGACGACTTGAGTTTGAGTCTTACCTCTACCATTTCTTTAAAAAAAAGGTACTTTCCTCTAATTGACTTTTTCCATAAACTAGTGCTACGTCAGGGGGTATCCTTGATAGAGCAATTGATGCAGAAGACAAAAGGCATGGTGACTTTTTGAGGCTGGTAATGCTTTTTAATCATTTGTTTTTAGCAAAATGTTCTATTTATCTTTCATTGGAGCCCAAAACAGATATTCTTATATTGTAGAAATAGTAAAATCTGGGTTATTTACCATGATAAATTTCATGCGAGCAGGAGCATGTTGAGGGTTACCTTGAATTGTCAGCAAAGACAAAGGTTTACTTTGCCACTGCTGTTGCTCTGTGGGATGCTGATTTTTACGTTAAAGTTGATGATGATGTACACGTAAATATAGGTAAAAAGATGCATAAACAAGCCCTTTCTTTTGTTCTCGCATTACTGAACCTTCAAGTTCGAAGAATCAGTTCAAAATTTTACAAACACAAAAGAAATGACCATCTTTAGAAACTGTCCCCAAGTTGTTGACTTCATCCATCTGTTTCTGCAGGAACACTTGGTGCAACTTTGGTTAGGCATCGCTCAAAGCCTAGGGTTTATATTGGTTGCATGAAATCTGGTCCGGTCCTAGCTCAGAAGTAAGTTCATTTGTCTAAACATATACGAAAAATAACACATATAGTCTTGTATCTCACGGAGTCTTCTTTTTGTTTTTCTTCCAAATTCATGGACAGAGGAGTGAGATACCATGAACCCGAGTATTGGAAATTCGGTGAGGAAGGAAACAAATACTTCCGACATGCTACAGGGCAGCTATATGCTATTTCTAAGGACCTAGCTTCGTATATATCATTTAACCAGTAAGTCTTCATGCCCTGCTGAAGGACAATTTATTGAGTTTCCCAGTCTATTTCATTTGCCTGATTTGTTTTGTCATGAAATAAAAATTTGTCCAGGCATGTGCTACACAAGTATGCGAACGAGGATGTTTCATTAGGATCGTGGTTTATTGGATTGGATGTAGAGCATATAGATGATCGGAGACTGTGTTGTGGTACAACAGGTAATTTTTTCCCGTTTCTGATCTTCGCGATTTGTGGAAAATCACATCGATTTTTCATTGACTTTGGTGCAAACAGGCTTTGTTTGTGGAATTTACTTGGAAAGTACCACTTATTTTAGCAATAAAATGATGAAAAATGTTTAGAAAATTATAAAAACTGGTATCTAGACAATTATTAGTGGAGTTGGGATGATAAATTTATGGAGGCAGGGTGTGAAACTTGAAGTTGGTTGATGACATTGTTTATGGCAGATTGTGAATGGAAGGCTCAGGCAGGCAACATCTGTGTTGCCTCATTTGATTGGAGCTGCAGTGGAATCTGCAAATCTTCCGAGAGAATCAACGAAGTTCACCGAAG